AATCTGAGAAAGGTATTAGTAAGGATGGAGGGGGTCAGTAAGGAAAGGTGGAGATAGAGAAGAGATCTACTTGCCATCAAAGTACATTTTATGGAAATCACAAAAATGGTGATCCAGTGTATATGTGTAATGGCAATACTAGCAAGCTTCATGCCTGCTTCAAAGAAGTTAGTTAATATTAGATTAAATAATTTGTTAAATTAATTAATAGTAGATTCGGTTATATTGCGATATAAGTTTAGTGATTTGAATGTGAAATGCCTCCTGAACTCTCATGTATTTGAACACTTACTTGGTCTTCAGTTTGTTACGCTGTTTGGGGTGATCATGGAACATTTAGCATAAACAGCCTTGCTGTTGGAGTGGGCCCTGAAGGTTTATAGCCTGGTCCCATTGCCTGCTCTCTCTTCTTTGCTTCCTGTGTGGCTTAAAAACGCGATCAGCTAGCTTTGTACCCCTGCCAACATGGCTTGCCGTCCTCAATATTGTGGACTCTAGTCCTCTAACCATAAGTCAACTACAGCCTTTCTTCCTTATGTGAGTTTTGGTCGTGGGTTTTTATCACGGCAACAGAAAAGTAACTAATCCAATTAAAACCCATGTATTTAGTTTTAATTTCTTGGCATTGAGCATCTAAAATGTTTTGAATCTACAGTGTGACTGAGACCACCACTAACCGTCCTTTATCTTGTTATAATGGAATTTCCCTGTCATTAGTCTAGCAAACATTTTTTCCAAATATGCATCTGCCATATGAGGTAAAAAAAAAAAAAAAAAAGACCAATAAACCCCATTCTGGAGAAATCTTGATTTATTGTTGGCATTCCCTGACTTTCCCCCTTGCTAATTCAAAAATAATCTTCCCATCATCTAATTTCCTCAAAAGACTAGTTGTCCAAAATTATGGGTAGGGGCATAGCACGCAATCCCAAGAGACTGCAGTTCTGCAAGAGTATGTATTTTCACTGTGTTTAGTAATAAAACTTCTTCCCACATCCTTGTCTCTCAATCCCTTTTCTGTCGATATTAACATGGAAATATGGGGTAAAATTTTCAGTTTGAACTGGCTCAGAACGCCACTGCCTTCACCCTCAGCAATAAATGAAGATTACTTGCCAAATGAACTAATCATAAGCCTAAGGAGTAGAAACTCTTAGCAACTTGACCTTCATACACTCTCTGTAATGATGGTCTAATTACTCACACTGGGCAATGATATAGTTAATCATGTCTATGTGATGGAATTTCCACAAAAATCCTAGACAGAGGGATTGTAAGAGCTCTGGGATTGGTCCACTCATTCACATGCTGGAAGGTGGTGGGGACAGAAGTTGTTGTATCTGGAGCTATATCCAGGACCACATCAACTTACCTTTTATTTGTTTTCTATGTCATTTAAAGAAAATTATTTATTTTTATTTTATGTATGTATGTATGTATGTATGTATGTATGTATGTATGCATGCATTTAAGTGCACCCATGTCATGCAATGCCCACAGAAGACAGGAAAGGCTGTTGGATCCCCTGGAACTGGAGTTATGGAACGGTTGTTAGCTGCCGTGTGGGTGCTGGGAATTGAACCTGGGTCTTCTGCAAGAGCAGTTAGTGTTTTTAACCGCTAGGCCATCTCTCCAGTCCCTGTGTCTGTCCTTGATTAATGAATCAGCAATTATAAATATTTTCTGAGCGCTATAAGCAATCCTGTACATTATTAAACCTCAGTAAGGGGTTATGGGAATCCATATTTTAATGCAGATCTGTCAAAAGATGAAAGGACAGACCGGCATCTGAAGTGGTGGGAGTAAGTGATAACAGAGCTTTCCTTGTATACTCAGCCCTAACTCCAAGTAGTGTTAGTATTGAATCTGTTAGACAAAAAATTGTCCTAGACAACTGTTTGCAGTGAGGAAGAAACACATTTGGTTGCAGAAGCATTGTGAGTAGAAAAACAAATGTTTCTTTACTTACCAATACAGCTACAAGGATTGTATAGTTTAAAAATATAAATCTACCAGGCGTGGTGGTGCACACCTTTAATCCCAGCACTCGGGAAGCAGAGGCAGGTGGATCTCTGTGAGTTCAAGGCCAGTCTGGTCTACATAGTGAGTTCTAAGACAGCTCAGCTACAGGGAGACCCTGTCTCAAAAAGACATACATATATCCTTAAAGAAAGGTGAAATCACAAGTGCCAAATAATAAATATATCCACTGTAAATATAACTTTAGACATCCTTGATCTTCTCAACTGAACAAATGAACCCCATATTTAAATATATGCTAGCTATCAAGAGCTGATTTTCTGGCTAGTCAGCATAATGAATTCATACTTCAGAGAAAATAAAGTTCTCAAAAGTTTTTGCTGTAAAGAAAGAAAGATAAGTGAGGAAGGAACAAAGAAACTTCATATATATTCTTCTGAAGTTTAGAGAAATTTTTTGTCTGTTTGTTTCTGCAGAGTTGGGGCTTGTAAAATTTTGTTGAAATCTGAGGCCCCGTGGCAAGGAGGAATCATTACGAAGTTAATTCACAACTGTGAGAGTCCACAGAGTTACCTGACAATGGAGGAGGTTTGTGTTTAGACTCCAAGAGAATGTGTGCATCAGGGACACACACATACACACACATACATACACACATTCACTAAACAAACAAATAAATGTAAAAAAAGTTGAAAAAATAATTAGAATGGGATACTTCAGAATTTCAACCAAAGGTAATACTAGCAGTCAAAATATAAACTTCCCAGTTATGTAACTGTGTATTTTAAGTCTTTACAAAAGCACAGACTTTTTAACAAATTCTATAACGAGACCCATAAAAGATAATTTTGTGCAAAATTATACCCGCTGATAATAAACTTTTACTAAGACTATTCTAGATAATCTCATGTGTGAGAGAAATGAATTATTTTGAGAGAAATATGTGGGAGAAAAGACAATGATAAATTATATTACCAAAGAGTTCTGCTGCTTTTTTAGATGCATAAAACCGTGATCAAGTTAATCAAGATTTGAATTGAAATGTAAAATAAACATGTATTAGATCATCGACGTCAATTTGTTAATTCACGTTATTGACTTCTCAGAGTGTTACAACACACATCAAGTAAATCACTAGCCCTTGCATAGCTCCAAGTACTGAGTCTCCTAAAATGTTGTAGGTTGAGAGAGACCTTTCCTTCAGTGAATATGAACAGTATCTCATCTCTCCTATGGGATTTTAATCATGTCCTCTATTAAGCCACAGACGGTTTTGCAGATCAGAACTCATTTATAGTTTTTGTTTCATATTTATTGTCTGAAATTCTTTCTTTTCTTTTCCCCCTTATTTCCCCACAGTGCCTATACAACACAAATTGTGGCACAGGGTAGATATTCAGTAATGCTCATGAATCAGGCTTCGTAGAGACAAATATCTAGCAAACACAAGAGAAAAGAAAACTAAAGTAAAACTAATTACTTTTTAAAAGTGAATTCTGTTTTGTTTGTTTTTCGAGACAGTCTCCCTAGAGTCACAGATGACCTGAAAATTGCTTTGTAGACCAGGCTGACTCAATTTCACAGAAATCCATCTTCCTCTGGAGTGCTGGTATGCACCACCATGCCTGGCTAAAAGTAAATTTGAGAGACATTAAAAGAAAGCTTCAAGGATTTCCTCCTCGATTGGTTTGTGGCACCCCTGCTACTTCTAGGGGTAGAGGATGGTCACTGTCTAGAGGTCATGGTAGGACTTATTGACTTAAAAGGCATAAAAAAACTCAGACTGAGCAGAGAGCAACAGGCAACAGACTTTATTTAAAAAGACAAAGAATCATGCTGACACAGAGAAAAGGACACCCCACAAGAGGGAAGGGGTTCAGAAACCCAAAACACAAGTCCCCTTGGGAGGGTCTAGATTCTTAAAGGTTTTAATTGGGTCTGCTTACCCTAATTTTGGATTGGTCAGCTAAAAAAGTGAAAATTTATGTGAGGAAATGTCCCAGTACAGACTTGGTATTATTTGAACTGTTTTGGATTGGTCATTAGGAACAGGGGCCCTGCAGAATGGAGGTCTCCAGGCCTTTGTCTCAGACCAAGAAGACTATGTCATCTTTTTTATTCATCTGCCCCCCATTCCCTATCTATCTACCTGTCCAGAAATAGGTCTAATTTCTAATCTCTCAGCCCATGTTCTTGAAAATGTAAGCATCTTCAGAGATGGAAATTAAAGCTCGGAAGTCACTGACAAAAATCATTACCTGCACAATGAAATACACCAACAAACGGTTAAGCAATTTGGTCTTTCAAACAGAAGAAACTTCAAAAGAAAAAGTGAAATTTTCAGGGACACATGACTTTGTGTGTTGCTCTGCACATCTGACTGTGTATTTAGAATATCCCTGCTCAAAAATGGCATTGCTTTTCTTTCTACCAGACATGGCTCTAGTTTGTTATTCAAGATGCAGCCTCTTTTGAGTTTTACCATATATTACTCAAATAAAAATGGAAATCAAGCCCTGCTTTCAAGATTTATTGCCAAATTCATCTTCCTTAATTTGAGCATTTTGTGAATGTGACTAGCAATTGCTGGTGA